ATTCTAGGCCAGAAAAGGATGAGGAATCCTATAAAAAAATCCACGTCCATCTCCGGTGATGGTTTGTGGTTGATTCCAAGAACTTCTGTTAGAATGGGTGGGTACATCACCAGAAAAAACTCATTCAAATTTTTTTCCAGTTTCCATTTTTGTCTAGGGATGACAAAAAAATTGGTCCTAGGCTAAAAAAGGATGAGGAATCCAATAAAAAAATGTTCATCCACCTCCTGCAATGGCTTGTGGTTGACTCCAAGAACTTTTGTTAGAACCCTCGTACCTTCTATAAATGTATCATGCCGAATAAATTTTCTCGAGGACCCGGCAAAATATTTCTGCGGACCTGCACCAGTCCGCGGACCACGTGTTGGGGGACACTGGTGTAGACTGTATATGAAACATCAGTGGGGCATGTTACTCTCTTGAAAATTTTCCATATCACCAAGGCAGACGCGAACTTGAGTACTGTATATGCGGAGTGTTAGGAATTTTTCGGAAGTCTCTCGATCGCAAGAGACGAATATTTAAACAGGGCCTCGCAGTTTTTATTTTTTCGCTCCACTCCTCCTGTACGAAGCCCGAATATTAAAGGAGTGAAAAATATTCCGCCGTTTGAAAATGTCGACGACGAGCTGCGCCTAAAAGTCGATGAGGATCTCCAATAATGACCTCGGCGGGAACGTGACGAATGGCGGAATATGATTCAGTGCCGTCAGCGGGGGCAAATGATGCAGGGGGCGTGTGCAGATAAGGTCCTGCGCGGAATTACCCGCAAGGTCCCGGAAGCACGGACTCGCTACTATTCCTGCTCCTCGGGGCTTTTCCGACGTCTGGGTTTTTCGCCGGAAGCCCGGGAATACGGCGTCAATTAAAGCAACGAAAATAATTCCTCTCCATCAACGCGGATGAAGGAGGAGAGACTCGCACAGTCGTACCCAATACTGTACCATGCTATCGCATTTTATATACTGTACTCGCATATGTGACGACGTTACGCGCTTATTCTTTGTGAATTTTGATTGTAATGGTATCAGAGGGTGTCATTGACTTTTTTCTTCATAAAGTCTGGGATTCGTAGGGTTATTCTTTGGGATAAAATTAGAGTATGATGGAACTGGAAAAGACAAATCCACCAACTATCTCTGGCTTCTTTATAAGCACGAGTAAAGTCGTAATGTTGGTTTTCATGCAGAGGAAGTGCGCCATACATTTTTACGTAGAGTCGTTCGCCGTTTTTCAAAAGAGGAATTGAAGTGATACTGCTTATAACTTTTTATTTTGCATTGAAAAAACCATGACATGTTTTCTATAGAAATGAGAAATGTTTCACTGAATATACATTTATGAAAAACCAATCATGATAATGTTTTAAACCCCAAGGTGAAAAGAAAACCTTTACATGATTTCAAGATTAAAAAGAGAAAAATGTGTCCGTTGAATTCAATAAACCCCAGAATTCCTCTTGATGGCTGAATCACCTTGCAATAATGGCCAGTATCTCGCACACCCTGCGTGATAATTTGGAATATTATCATCAAACGATGTTTTATAAGACATTTTTAAACATTTCTGATAATGGTTCACCGTTCTTGAACTGGCTGAAGTAAGGCTTTAGTTTTTTAGATTGAAAGATGACATAGTTGAGTAAAGGCTATGTTTTTATTGTGGACACGGAAAATAGACTATAATGTCGAACAGTAGTTCTACCTGAAGACGAAACCATTTCAGGCGAAGCGATCACTATATGTGAAGAGGCGATGAATATATTTTTTCGTATGCCCAATCGAATTTTTCAGCCAAGAAAATCAGCGATTATACGAAAAAAACACCTCCGGAATTTTTACCATGTGATTTTTGGAAAGTACAGAATGTGTTCACGGCGTAATTCTTCCGGTTCAGCGCAACTCTGAATATTTTTGAGCATCCAGAACAAGAGTATAACGATGCATAACGTTGCATAATAACCATAACGTTGCATAACGTTGCATTCGGAGCTTGAGCTCACGGATTTGTCAAGACTGTCCGATAACTTTTTCAAGCATCAAGGAGAATGAAAATGAATCTAATATAGCGAGCTAATGCAGTTCTTCCGCCTCAGAAATGACCATCTTAGACACTTCTTTTCATAAAATCAGCTGAGCAGCAAAAATTAACGAAGTGTTCCAATTTGAATTGTTGATGTTATTGCATACAAGGAATAAAAAAGTGGGAGACATTTCCAGGGAAAAAAGCGAAAGCGACTTGATTATTTTCGTGCCCAGTAAAAAAAAAAGAAAATCCCCGAAAATTACTTTGCGAATGTTTGCTTTTTCATCGAAAATATCCTTCGGTCTTCGGGGCTGCCGCGTGATTCTCTCGATATACTTTCGATTCCATACAGTAAATTCACCCACGTGCTGCTATAAGCCCCTGAATGCGAGGAAAATCACGGATGGAAATTTCATAAATCTTTTCTGATCGTCTCATCATTTTTGTTCAATTTTTAAAAGACTGGTTTCTTATTTTTGAATTTCAGGGAAACCTGCCGACGCCGTGAGCTGGGATCGCTGGTGGACGTATGACGGAATTTCCGGTATGAAAAATTAGTTCAGACACACTCATGCATTTCCCCCAGCTTCATTTGAATTCGTTGTATGAATATGTTGAGCCACATGCGTGCAAATGAACTCGTCCTTCCTCTCTGCTGTTCATCCTATCCATCTTCAGGCTTACGTTCTCGCCTGCTGACGTTCGTGTTAGATTAATCGTTACAGGAAAAATATCCCCGAAATTTTGCATCGTTTGGAATTATTGCGCTTGAAAAAAAGAGAAACTAAACATTTTCGATCATCAAGAAGGCGATTGTTTCCATGATTGAAACACCCAGGCATTTCGAGGAAATTATTCTGAAAGATGGGGTATTCTACGAAGATTTTAACGTCACAGGATTGGACTTACAGTGCAGCCCCGACTTGCGGACATTTCGATCTATGCACATCAAAATCCAAAATTGTGTCCCAAATCTGGACATGATCTAAAGATACGGACATTTCACAAATACGAGTACTTCAGACAAATTAAAAATTGCAACTGTGCATAACTTTTACATTCCTCGATCAAGGTATTGAGTTCTTTCTTCAGAGAACAATACAAAACGTTTTTCTTCAAATGTGTTCTTCAATACCTGATCCAAAACAGGCTAATGATGTGCTTGTGATTTTGTGCTTCGTTTCTTTCATGAATTTGTCCTGATAAACAGGGTACATAGTGATATTCTTAATGATTCTTTATTTTTTAAAAACTGTATTTCATGCCAAAGGGAAGATTGTGTGCGTCTCTCTTCTTTGATGTTGCTCTCTGAATTTTGAAGGTAAGGAAAATTTACTTCAATTTTTGGAAGAATTTTTGACAAACAAGAGAACCAATTGAATTTGTTTACGATGAAATGTATGATGAAATGCATTTTCAATATTTAGAGTATTAAAAACGTAAATCAATTTGCTCAAGAGACGAAATATCCAAATTTTGAAAACAGAAATAATAAATTATCCCAGAAATGTTGGAAAAATTCCCATATGTCCACGGATTGTCGAGATGTCAGCGCGGACTTTTTTTTTGTAGTTTCAAGTCGATTAGTTCGTATGTCTGGGTCATACTGTACGTCTTCATCGATCATGCCAAATAAGCATATGCAACGAAATTCAGCAATATGGGTAATTCCTGATTCAACCAACGAACGGAGAAACAATGAAGCAAGTAAAAGAGTAAAACCAAACAAAAACAGAAAACGTAAAAGAAAAGTCGCTCAGACCAAAGAGCAATGAGCGAAGCTGCGAACAATAAGTGAATCTTACTTGCGCGTGAATCGATATCACTGCTGCTGGATACGAAGATCGAGAAACTAATTATCGGATAACCTCTGGGGGGTTTCTCATGCTGGACTGGCTGCTGCACAGCATATATAGAGCCAAGTGTCGGGATGAGACGATGTTCTCTCAGGGTGTGCATGGGGAGGTGAAACAAGGTAAGGCGAAAGGCACACACACACACACACACGAAGGAAAACGGAGTTATAGCACACGAGCCCTGGGTGCTCTGATCGCAGGTAAAGGCAATGATGGACGTGATTTAATCGGCTTGATCTTTCCCAGGTCCGTCCTACTGGGGGCTCATTAATCCCGAATGGAGTCTGTGCTACAAGGGCCGACGCCAGTCGCCGATCGATATCGACCCAGGTCGATTGCTCTACGACCCGAACCTCAGGGCGCTGCACATCGACAAGCATCGAGTGGGTCCAATCACCAGCCATTCTTTCTCCTGTCACACGTACCCCTGCTCTTCATCCCCACTACAGTGTCGGCTCGGGACTCGGGAGTACAGTATCAGGAATGTCACTGAGAGAAACGAGACAAACGAAAAATGACGCGGAAGAAAATTCCGAAACTTAGAATAACAAATTTCCAATCACCATGAATGGATAGGCATAGGCACTCTTCTTCGTCTAACTATACGTACGACCAATGAGGGCTTCGAGGGAGCAAAAAGAGACAAAAAAAAAAAAAAAAAACCAGAGGAAAAATGCCGAAAAAATCAATTTTTGAAATTTCGATCATTCTTCAATCCTTTTTAGCGTGCTCAAGCTCTTTCAATCATGAGAGCTGAAAGAAAAAAAAAATTACGGAAGAAAAAATTTTGAAAGTCGAAACTCAGAAAATGTCAAATTAATCACATTTGATCCATTCAAGGATACTACTGTACTTTGGAGAACACAAGAAAAACAAGAAATCCACTGATGCATTATATGGCGATGTTCTCCGTGAATACAAATTTTCTTGCTCTCAGGATTTTACAAAACCAGATGAAACGCTGGAAGAAGAAATAATTTTAGGATCATGTAGTCGCGTGGTGACATATCAGTTTTTGGGAAAGCATCGAACCGAAACAGGGAAAGCTTTCGTTTCACCAACATTAAAACTCAGTTTTCAGCCTAGTGTATACCATTGTGAGAAAAATATTCCTGAAAAAATATTTTTTAAGACAAATTATAGAACACCGGTGGAATGTCGCGGTAAGTTAAGTTCCGTCTAGCCGCTGCTCTGAAATCATTCGAAGATATGCCGCGGTATATTTTGAAATTACTTTTCACTAAGCGAAACAAAAAGAAACATTTACGCTGGAGAAAATGCGGCAACAATCACTCTTGAAAATTTCAATGATCACATTCGAATAAGCCGTGCTGAAATAGGAAAAGTTTTCCGGAAAAAAAGAGGAGTACGTGTTAACTTCCAAACGTTAACTGTTTCCATGGGAAGTCATTTGAATTCAATAGCGGAATAAAATGTAATCCATGCAAGTGGGGTAAAACATTCGAAACATGATTTAATAAAATGACGATACAATACTGTATCTCAAATCATTCCGAAGCCATTTCAATTAAAACCCCGGTCAGACTTTAAAAGTAAACATAGCCTGCAAGCATTTTTTGTTCTTTGCATGGTTCTTTGAACAAATCAGGCGTTGCATCGTCACCCATTCCATCTTCCTGTTGTCTCATTTCAACTTGCATCATATCCACTGTATTGTAAATTTTTACTTCGAAATCCTTAAACCCAGCTTCTTCGATTTCCAAGGTCGGCGGAAACATCACCAACACGGGTCACAGCGTGATCCTCAAAATCGACAACGTACCGTTGGCAGCCGACGAGGAGGACTCGGGTTCCGACGGGGTGGACAAACAGAACTACGACCCCTCGCAATCGTCACCAGACTTCGAAAGCGACGGCATGGCGAGGAACATGCAGCAGCATCGGTCAGCGTTGGCAGCGGGGGTCAACAGGGAAGAGGACCCCTTCAGAGGCGCCTTGCCAGTGCACAAGCCGGTCAACATCACCGGAGGACCCTTGACTTACAGTTACCAAGTCGAGGAAATTCATTTGCACTATGGTACCCGGGAAAGCATCGGTTCTGAGCACACCATCAACGGCCGTGCTTTTCCTGCTGAGGTAAGATCAAGGAGTCTAAAATACTTCGGAAGACCGAACATTTCTGTTGAATAAAATGCAAAAAAAGTTGTACATCTTGTTCAGTATTAATAGAACTCAACCAAACAGCAGATGATGAAAACGCAGAAATGCAAATAACGCAAACGCATTCGGCCAGTTTGCTGCCAAGAATGTACAGTATACATGCAGTATAATGAATATAAAAAATAGGAACATATACCGTATTCACTATATCACCACCACGCAGACTTTTTTTCACATAATGTATTAGAAAGGGAGAAATAAGGGGCACCCTTCATATGTGGGTGTACATTTTAATACAGTTTCAGAAATATAAGTGAGCATTATTCATCATTTCTAATAGGAAACTTTGGACTAAGTTCAACAGAAAACAGATTCTGATGGAAAATGTGAAAAAATGGTCAAATTCATGCTCAATCTATGCCTAAATTCGATTTTTTGCATTCTTAATTTTGATTTATTGCAGTTTCAGAGTCATTAAATCGAGGTGCGTGTCTTCCTTGGGGAGAGGATTTTTTCAAAATGTCCAATTGAGAAAAACTGATGCGCATCTCAGTTGAGGACATTTGGTAATTGAGTGAATACTGTACTGTATATTCAAGGAGTCCTCTTGAATATACAGTATGCTCATAGTTTTTCTTCAGAATCATGTACAGTATTGTGTAATTTATAGCAGAGAAAAGACAGAATCACTAGGAACCGTGGAAACACAACAGAAGGGATAGAACAAATTTCTGCACAAATCCAGAACCAAATACTGTACAGACATAAAATTTGTGAAGCTAAAAAAGAAACAATAAAAGAGTGCTGCTTTTCGCAATATATGCTTTATGTCGAGTGTAGATTTTGTTTTAATCATAATACGAGTTTTTAGAGTTTGGAAAAACCAACGCTGAATTTTTATCATTTCATCCCTTCCATAACACCTTTGTCATATATTCGTGTAACTTATTGTTTGTCAACAGATGCAAATATTCGGCTACAATGCGCACTTGTACGCAAATTTCTCAGAAGCCCTGACGAAATCGCAAGGGATTGTCGGCATTGCCCTTCTCGTGCAGGCATGTATTCTTTCCTTTTTTTTTTACAAAAAAGAGTTTCAAAAATCTGAATAAATTCGTTTTTGTGTCGCTAGAAACTATTCAATCATCTTCATTTTAACCGGATGATTTCAGATCGGGGAGCAGTCGAATGAAGAACTTCGTTTGCTCACAGATGTCCTGGACAAAATAAAATTTGGAGGTTGGTAGATTATTTTGCACCATGCCAGAATCAAATGACATCCAAAATTGATCTTTTGCTGTATTCAAAGGTCAAATAACTAACGTGGAAGGACTGAATATCCAGGGGCTTTTACCAAACACCGACAGCTACATTACTTACGAGGGATCAATCACAATGCCGGCGTGCTTCGAAACTGTGACATGGATTGTGATGAACAAGCCGATTTACATTACTAGACGTCAGGTATAAGGTTCACTCATAGTGAAGCCAGGACAATAATGATTTCTTGGATGATAGACGTAAGTTTCGTGATGTAATTACAGCTCATCGGTCTTCGACAATTGATGCAAGGAGGTGCTCAAGCTCCGAAGGCACCTTTAGGGAATAACTTCCGGCCTCCACATCCTACTCATTACCGTCCAGTGAGAACGAATATCAACTTCAAGGAGTCAAAAGAGGTAAGCAACGCGAATGACATTTTCATTCAAATCATCCATTTTTATTGAGAATTTCCATGTTTGTTTTTTCAGAGCAACAAGCACTGTCCTACGATGGCAACGAGTGTATATTATCGCGGTGAGGCTCATGAATTTATCTATTGGCTGGAAGTCACAATATTTTTTCCGAAAATCTTTCATCGGTTTTATGGAAACCTCCGTTGAATTTTTGGGGGCAAATTCCGAAAGTCCTGCGCATCACCGAAACCAGCATTCAGGGGGGCATCAAACCGACTTGCCTTTCAATTGTTTAGAACAAAACAAAAACCTGCTGTCGAAAATGAGTGATTATTTTGTAACTGATTCCGATAATGATACGTTGAAGATTCTAAAGAGTTTTGGAAAGCAATTTTTCACTGTATACATCGGTTGTTCCACTTGGGTGCAACCTTGGTTATTTTAGAACATACAGTATATTGAGGTATGACTTTAAAAGGAATATTTTCAAATTAGCAGTGATAAATTTACTCCATGATAATCAATTTGCCCCATTGATGAGTATACATTTTTGAGAAAAGGCTGGAGTTCTCCACCTATCTCACTGGGTTCTAAAAATTTATCGGGCCAATTGAAATAGACATTTCTTTGTTCTTTCAACCAGTATGCATGATATTCAGGTAGTCGAAAAATATTCAAATATTTCGCTTGAAAATTTGTGAGCACACTCTGACATGGTTGGAGAACTCTGGTTATAATTGGAAAGTTTTCAAAAATAACTGTATAGTATAGCATCATCCTGTAGGTTGATTTTTCTTCAATCCGAAATAAATTCCCATCACAATAGAACATTATGGGCGTTATCATGATATTTTCTTTCAGTCATACTTACCCATTCCCAGTTGAACCCAAGCGGGACAACCTTTCGTAGATACTCTATTAATTTGACGCATTCAATTTTATGTTCGATTATTTTAGCGGCAGAGTGGGCGTCACCTTGATGAGCTTTTGAAGAACACCATGTGGAAGGTGTTTAATTGAGCTGCGGACTCGACACCCACGGCAAATTCCTAGAATCCATGTGATGAAGATGCGTTGAGAAATTTCTCCGCCATGAGGAGACAGACAGACTTAGAGAATGTCGCCGTTCTTCCGCGGTGAAAGCATTTTTATACGAAATGTTTTGCGAATGGGTCAAGTTATGAGATGTTTCCATCGCGAGTGTAACGCTGGAAGTAGAGGAATTTACTCGAGGAATGATTGAAACCTTTTAGTTTCGGTTATGGGGAAAATTGAAATGTCTCTCAGTTTTTCGAGATTAGATTGCTAACCGCAGGGCTTTCAGAAATTATGCTACGATTCAGCACTCTCCCATGGGCATGTTTACAAAAGCACCCGCAAATTTTACACGCAAATAATATTTCCGAGTATTTATGCAACCAGCAGAAATATTGACTCCTATGTCAATTTCTCATTGTCTTTCAATACGAATAAAATCACTGCGTCTACTGGGAAGTTTCAATACATGCAGATGTGAGTTTCAAAAGAGTTCGTGAGATAGGTCATTTTGTGGATTTATTATTTTTATACTCCCAACATGTTTTTCGAGGGAAAACAAAAAATAAAATTGAAGTAGAAGTGACGGTTCAAAAGTTTTGTCAGTATTGTGACTGAAAAATTATGCTCTTACTTTTAGATTAACCAAATTTTCGGTCCGATTTTTTTTAAACACTCAGGATTGAAGACTAAAACTAAAAGCATTTCATTCTTCCTTTGTGGGGGATTTTTTGAGATTTCATAGTTCTAACTAAGTCAACTTGTTGTTCACTCATGAAGTTTTGGAACTGAGAAATTGGACCTTCTCATACAGCGTATTACCAGCAACGAGATGATCGTCAAATTCAAAATGTATTTCCTAATTTTAGCACAATATCGTGCATGTTTAACATTGTTATTATTTATAATTACCGAATTTAAACTAATTTTTAGCAATTCGAGTCAGCCTGCTAATTTTTGAAACGTGCTTCAAGTGGATCGTCTTCCTTCAAATAGTATAGTCGGGGCTCTTGAAATTCACCGCTTTCGATTAGGGTAATGAAGAAATTGAAATGTTCATAACATAATCAATGAAAATAACGTCAATATCATCCGTTGAACTGGACTTGAACAAGGGAAGCACAATCCCGACGAAGCTTTTGAGGGGTAATGAAGGGGTAATTAGGGTAATGAAGAAATTGAAATGTTCATAACATAATCAATGAAAATAACGTCAATATCATCCGTTGAACTGGACTTGAACAAGGGAAGCACAATCCCGACGAAGCTTTTGAGCCGAACTTCATATAGAAGACGAAAAGATGCGATTGAAAATGTATTTTGTGCGTCGAATGTTTTGCGTTCGTTCACTTTTTTTTTCGCCGCATTGAGGTTGAAAAGAGAATTCATGGAAGTTGGCTGAAGCTAGCAAAGAAGTCGTGATTTATTTCATCTGCCCTTTTCGGCTGGGTTTATAAGAAGATTTCGGGATCCTACAGCACGTTTTTTTTCATAAAACATCAATTTTAATTTTGCGACAAGTGATGGAATCAGCACACATTCACAAAACGTGAATGCTTCGGTTGAATACTGCCATTCATTCCTGTTTGAAAGGATTTCGTTAACCTTCTTCCTCCGACAAAATCCAAACTTTCATTGGTGTTGATTTTCCTTTCATGTTCACTGGTCCTCGGTAAGTGAACTTGAATCTCCGGTCGATGTTGATTTTCTCTTGTAAGCATCTGGAATTCAATTCATGATTTTAGCGACATTCTGAAGGAAATAAACAAGTACCTGTGAATAAAGTCTGACATACCCGTAGGCATCTTCGGAAACATTGATAACCCCGGGTTCTCCGGTTGTTTCCGTCCTGCTTGTCAAGTTCACAGTGTTTCCAAACAAACAATATCGGGGTGTACGTAATCCGATCACTCCTGTGACCACTTCTCCAGAATGAATACCGATTGTCAATTTCTATAAATGATCGTATTTTGTATTAGCATGAAAAGAGTTTGCTTCGAGTAGAAAATCGTTCAAAAAATGATACTTTATTGCGTGGAACGCAAAAATTGATACCGTAATGTGTTATGAGACTTCAATTGGTGACAGCATGTTTTGAATCCATCTCATCCTGTGAGTTGAAGTAATGTTTTCGTTTCATCTTTGTCTGGTACGAAATATTTTCGGTAACACTGTATGAGTTGTTAGTTCAAGATCCGTACTGTATTTGCGGACAGTCGTTCATTTGTAGATTGATATATATACAAGACTATGTTTCCATTTGTCAGCATTCACGAAGACCATGAAATGTCCCACCCTTACGCATTCATTCAAAACATTCTGGCCTACCAAAAAATTCACTATACAACCGGGGGTTGACTGTACTGCATTCACTATACAGTACAGTACACAAGAATGAAGGAGAAAACTAATTGCCTTTTTCTTTAAAGAGATTTAAATTACAGCTCATGGCAATCAATGAGCACAAATTAGAGCACGAGGTTTTCAGGCTGTTCCAAAGTAACTTATTCATTGATTGAAGAATGTAGGAAGAATCGTTTGAGGAGAAATCGTCATCAAGCAAGCATTTCATCCTGATCCTCAAGTAGTCAAAGATTTCGGAGAGTACCTTTTTTATGTTGAGAGAATTATAATTCTAAAGTTTCATAAAATGTGAGCAGACTCAAAAGTGTTTTGTTTGAAGATGCAATTGTTGGCAGGTACAGTACATCGGAATTTTCTGAGTTTTTTTTTTTTTTTTTAAAGAAAACGACGTAAGTTAAGAACAAATGGAGCAGCTCTAGGAAAATGTCAAAGAGTTAACTTTAAGAAAAGTTTGTCTGTACGACATACGGAATACTGGGCCTGACAGAATACTGTACTGTATGGTGCTCTGAGGATTCAGTTTATAGACATTGTAATAAATTATAAGACGTTAATGAACCGTTAAGTCATGCTTGGCTTTGCTGCTCAACAAGAGTTGAATGATCATTGCTTGCCCAATTTTTTCTCTCGCGTTTTAAATGGTCGCTTGGTCTAACAATTATTTGACCAAATTTGCAAGGAAGTCAGCAAAGCGCCAGAATTGTAACTCCTTTGCTTTTCCACATCTGCGATTGTTTTCACAAAACGTGTGTACATAATTTTCGGATTTTCTAAACATACAATTTCTCACTAAACATAACATAAGAAATCACTCAAATTTTGAATCTTCAACTCGAAGGAAATGCCGAAAATTGCATGTATTTTATTTGAATCAGCACAGATCGTTTGGATTCTCACCAGTGATTGCCCCGTGGGTGTCATGATGCCCTCAGCAACCCGAACCATATCCAGGGAAAGCTTCGCAATACATTTCGCGTGTTCATCGCATGGCTCCGGTAGTCCGCTGACTGCCATATATTTGTCACCTACTGTCTCCACCTTTACATAGTATACCATATAATGAACCCGATGATGCTGCAATAAGGTGAATGGATATCGAGCACAAAGGATGCGTCTAAACGCAGTACCTTGTAAATGTTCTTGTGCTTATCAGACTCGGTCAACGAATCTATGGCACTGTACAGTCTGTTGAGGATGTCCACTACGATACGAGCACCAGTGGACTCGGAATTCAGCGCGCAAAGGTCGCTGAAACCCACGATGCCGCTGAACAAAAGAGTGACCTTCGGGAATTTTCTCGGTGGTACAGGTCTTCCGTGGCGCAGTTCGTTCGCGACTGTCGGCGGCAGGACTGAGTACAGCAATCTGGAAAGTGTATATCAATAAGTAAATGAATATGTCTGTGGTCATTGGGTATTGTGAATTAATTACGTGAAGTTACGTGCGACGAAAGCATTCCTATTTTCATGTCATATTTCATCGCAGAATGACAATCGCCGTTCTGACTCGAGGAAACAATGGCCATCATCCAACAGCATTTCTTCATCATAGCAGAAATAATGTAAGGGTTATAGCAACTTGGTGATGAGTGGATTACGATATTGTACAATACATGAGCTGAAGTAAACATATTTCCTTTCAAGACTCATTCTGAGTAAGGATTGAGTACATCATCGGCCCCCAAATCTGTGGTCTATGGACCTGCGCCAGTCTGCAGAAGTTTTTTGCTAGTCCGCAGGGATTTTCTTCAGCATAAAAAATGTAACAAAAGTAGCGCTGAAGTATTTTTTATTCATCCGTAATTTTTCAAAGACCACGGCAGTTGAAGCTATCTGATAAAAATTAGAGCTGGATTTTCTCTCAAGATAAATAATATTTTCGACCAAATTTTATATTTCATTCTTTACAAACATGTCTTCAAGCTCAGCTTTCTAATTTCTTGCAGGCATCCCACTAAAAGTGCTTCATTGTTTTTAAAAATAATATATTGATTTTTTGCAACCTATCAAAAACTCATTGTATCCTCATTATCAATTCTTGCAAACAAAACTTTTTTGAGTCTGAACAAATTTTATAAAACTTTGCCGGTCCTTTTAAGATTTTTGGAGATTTACCAGCGAGATAGTCTATGAAAATTACCTGGTCTGCATTCTGCAGGCGCAAAAAGCTTGGGGAACACTGGAGTAGATCATACTGTTATACAGTACAGTATGTGCTTTTTCAGAACAGTTAACAGATGGATTCGAAATTAGCCAAAATGAACAATTAAAATGTGTCCAAGCCATAGCAGTAAATGATATTCGACTTTTGGACCAGAGCAGTAGAAAAAAAATTAATGCATAAGTATGCTTTAATTAAACAAATTGAAGTTTATAAATAGAGAGATACATTTTCATCAATAATTGCTTCAATAGAGAAGAGCGAAAAAATTTCAAGAGAGTTTGGACAGACTAAGTTTTTAAATGTTCCAATAGTCTTGAGCAACTGGTGCACTGCTCTTCATCAGGAACAGTTTCAAGCCTTCTGATGAGGGAAAAGTAGTACAGGTACAGTGTGAGGATGTTGTTCAAAGACAGATTCAACTGCCGACATCTACAAATGGGGGCAACGAACTTGAGTAAATTTGATGCTAACATGATCGGCGATCCTAACGTGATCTTTCACAATTAAAACCCCTTTCCTCGTTCGCAGTGGCTCTTTCTACTCTTAGATGTCGCGGTTGCAAACATCAGACCTCGAATCTAGTCTGAAGCTCTGAATCTTGCTTTTTCGAAGGAATATATTGAAAAAGAACACAAGACTGTCATTTCACAGCAGATAGCGTGACTTGTTAGGTTTAAAGAGGAATGTATTGAGTTTGTGACTACGGTATCCACCAGCAGTGGCTATACAGTAATATAACAGTATACAGAAAGTGTCTCATTTGAATAATTCATAATCGCCATTGAGAAGATTCATCATCACATCGCACGCGTCGAACAGTGAATTTATGCAATAAATTGCAAAACTTCACCCATCCGTTTTCTTCTTTTCGTTTTCAAGTTCCCGGTATGTGCTTTGCAGCTTGTCATTCATCACTTCGAGATCACGGGTAAGTTTGTACTCGGCTTCGAATTGTTCGGAAAGCAGAACTAAATCCCTGGTGGCATCGTGGATCGGAATATCACTGAGATAAAGTCCTCTCCTGCTGTGTTTGTGTTTGTCTTGTCTTGTACAAAAACCAGTGTATGATAATAAAGTCTTATTGTGAATAATCATACACTCGACTCACAATCCTTTCCAAGTTCCAAGTACTGGGAGCTAGGGGGGGATAACACTTTCGAGACTCATTCTGAGTAAGGATTGAGTACATCATCGGCCCCCAAATCTGTGGTCTATGGACCTGCGCCATTCTGCAAAAGTTTTTTGCTAGTCCGCAGGGATTTTCTTCAGCATAAAAAATTTAATAAAAGTAGCGCTGGAGTCTTTTTTATTCATCTGTAATTTTTGAAAGGCCACGGTAGTTGGAGCTATCTGATAAAAATTAGAGCTGGATTTTCTCCCAAGATAAATAACACTTTGGACAAAATTTCATTTTTCATTTTTACAAACTTTTCTTCAAGCTCAGCTTTATAATTTCTTGCAGACATCCCACTAAAAGTGCATCATTGGTTTTAACATAATATATATATATTTTTTGCCACATATCAAAAACTCATTGTATCCTCATGATCAATTCTTTCAAACAAAACTTTTTTGAGTCTGAACAAATTTTATAAAACTTTGCCAGTCCTTTTAAGATTTTTGGAAATTTACCAGCGAGACATTCTATGGAAATTATCAGGTCTGCATTTTGCAGGCGCAAAAAGCTTGGGGAACACTGGAGTAGATCATACTGTTATACAGTACAGTATTTGCTTTTTCAGAACAGTTAACAGATTCGAAATTTGCCAAAATGAACAAATAAAATATGTCCAAGCCGTGCAAATAAATAAAATATGTCCAGTAAATGGTAATCTACTTTTGGACCAGAGCAGCAGAAAAAAATTGATGCATAAGTATGCTTTAATTGAACAAATTGAAGTGTATACATAAAGAGATAAAGTTTCATCAATAATTGATTCAATGGAAAAGAGCAACAAATTTCAAGAGAGTTTGGACAGACTAAGTTTTTAAATGTTCCAATAGTCTTGAGCAACTGCTGGTGCACTGCTCTTCATCAGGAACAGTTTCAAGCCTTCTGATGAGGAAAAAATAGTACAGGTACAGTGCGAGGATGTAGTTCAAAGGACAGATTCAACTGGCGACATCTACAAATAGGGGCAAAAAACTTGAGTGAAATTGATAGATACCAACATGTCTCGCGATCCTAACGTGATCTTTCACAATTAAAACACCTTTCCTTTGTCGCAGTGGCTCTTTCTAGTCTTAGATGTCGATATTGCAAAGGATCAGACCTCGAATTTAGTCTGAAGCTTTGAACCTTGAATTTTTCGAAGGAAACTACTGAGCAAGAACACAAGACTCTCATTTCACAGCAGATAGCGTGACGTAGGTTTGAAGGGGAATGTATTGAGTTTGTGACTACGATATCCACCAGCAGCGGCTATATACAGAAAGTGTCTCATTTGAATAATTCATAATCGCCATTGAAAGGATTCATCATCACATCGCACGCATCGAACAGTGAATTTATGCAATAAATTGCAAAACTTCACCCATCCGTTTTCTTCTTTTCGTTTTCAAGTTCCCGGTATGTGCTTTGAAGCTTGTCATTCATCACTTCGAGATCACGGGTAAGTTTGTACTCGGCTTCGAATTGTTCGGAAAGCAGAACTAAATCCCTGGTGGCATCGTGGATCGGAATATCACTGAGATAAAGTCCTCTCCTGCAAACATAATCAACCAATTTAATTGCATGATCGGTATCAAAATCATTGACAATGGGTTCTGATGAATTCTTGCCTGCATAAATCATCCAGATTGACGACACTCGGAGAACATACGAACATCATCAGATCCGTTTCGGGAACATATATCATTTGTCCCTGTCAGAAAGAGGAAAGCATCGAAACAATTTTGCAAATCGGAACTGAAATCAACCGGTAGATTCAAAATTACTTTCAGTCGAAGCTTATTGTAGTGCTCGGGAATTACAGGCAGGTCATTTTCAGGCTTCTTATCTTCATCATTCATGTCCTCGTAATATTCATGGTCTCCACTCACGGTTTCCAAAATATAAACCGTGTTTATGTGAGCAAGAATCGTGTCAAATGTGAAATCCATGTGCGGACGCACCTGAAAACAGCGTTATTCCCAGAAACATTTCTTCATTTTGCTGCTACAAATGGCTTCAAGACATCTCAAAAATGTTCGGAAAAGAACCAAAGGTTTTATTCAAAGTATAAGATACGTTTAAAAATGTAGTAAATATATTGATTTTCACAGCACATACCATTGTAAACAGTTCAGGAACACGCCTATCTCCGTCTCCCATCTGAGGAAGAATTCTTGCGATTGAAGATCCGGCCTGATGAATTTTCATATTTCTGTCAAACATGATGTGAAATGGGAATACGTTGCAAAATGTCATTGGACTTATGTACGACTCTGGAAAGAGAATATAATAATTTTTATTAACAAATAAAAATCAGATGAAAACACTGGTTGAATTTTCGTATCTGCATATACCAGTATCATCATGGTTCTCAGCCTCGTCATCAGACTTGTCGCAAATGTCGTGATTGGATGTTTCAGCTTCTTCTTTAATAAGGAACTGCACATGATCACCGAGTTCCTTCCGGCATTTGTAAATTTCTACTTGCACTTGCATGCCGTGTAGATTTTTTGCCACCGCCTGTATAAAATCTCTTAGCAATTTTCTGTCTTTCATCTTTCATATGTTATTCAATTCGTAAAGGCGAACCTTTACGATTCCGATGACGATGCACTCTAAACCTGGTCGTTCGGAATAGTAGTGCAAAATAATGGCACCATCTTCTTTCCTTGTCGAGCAGCGAAATGAAGGGGCTGTCATTCCGGGGTAAATTGTGCCGAGGTGATCGTGCAATGCGTCCAAATTCTGTTCGAAAATACGTAAAAAAGGACATGCAACTTCCTCTCAGACTTTGATTCTTAGTAAATTAAATTCTAGCATGACCGGAAAAGTATTACGTGTTTTAGCTCAAGTGGAAACTATGATTGAAAACCGTTGCGTAACATCAAACACCATTGAATATTTTTTTAGGAAAACAAACTTTTCTCGAGGACGTGAGTAAAGTCTGGAAAAAATACGGTATAGAGTCCATGTTAAAACAATCTTCTAAGAGTTGCAAACTTATCACTTCCAGTCTAACAAATAGCGTTTTTGAGGAACGTTCAATATATTTTCAAGGTATGAATTTCCTGTCCAAAGCAGGCACACTCTGAAATATACAATCCTAAATGTGACTGACGGATTCTTTTTAGCGTGGATGGAAACTTCAATTAATAATGCACATGTCTCCCTCCTACCAGAATGGAGAGATTTTAGAATCATCCTCCCTGACAACGAGATCGGTGCAACTGGCGGAATGCATGCTTGAAGGTAATTTTTTTTTCAGATCACTCAGGTTAAAAAAAAAACAAAATATCTGCAAAAGACAGAGAAGCAAGATCTGATTGATTAAATAAAAGGGTTGGTCTGAAGTGAAGATTTTTTCCAGTCATTGATTTTGAAAGTGTCGTTTAAATTTTTCAGGATAACAAAATCATTCTGGAGTTCACGAAAGTTGGTATTATTCAGCTATTCTACCATTATCAGCAGTTTGAACTTTCACATGCATACCTGAAGGAAATCCCTGGTTGTGGCACCGAGTACACGAAGGATCCTATCGTAGCCGGACTCTTGGCAAAAGTCGAGGAACATCTTGCCGAACATTTCCAAGATGTCGCTAGCAGGTACTTCTGTAGGAATATGAGATTCGAGAAAATCGTTAGGAATCATAATAACCAGCAGAGAGAACGTGGAAACCATTTTGTTTTTATTACAATTTCAATTGGTTTAATGTTTGCGTCCCGGAAGTACATACCAAGAACTTTCTCAGCTGCTGTGACGATATCATATGTGATACTATCGTCGTAAATTTGCCGAACTAGGAATTGACCATCCATGTCCAAGTCAGCTTGCTTCCTGAAACATCAAAGGTGATCTGATTTACTGTATTTTTTGGAATGGTTAATGTTTTCAGTTATGCATTTTTTTATGTGTGGGTGAACTCACTTGATCTTCTTCCACACCTCTTCCCCGAAATTCTGGAGAACCAGGAGCTCGATGGCATAATTGACGAAGCCATACTGAAGAAAGCGGTCGGAAAATATAAAAATAAATCTATCGATTTCTAAAATTTTATTTCACGAAAAAAAGGCTCACCATATTTTGCTCGAGGGCTGCAGGAAATAACCCTGACTCTTGATTTTTTGCAGATATGTTTCCACTGCTCAATTGCTTCACTATTTTGTTGGTGAAACTGTAACTTTGGTTTTAAGTTAGACAATACTTTTTTTTTCGATGAAATTTTAGAAGAATATGGCACAGAGTTAACTGCTGGTAAGTTGGCTGCTCCAGGGCAGCACTCGGTCAATAATGATTTTCTCTGAGAATTCTGCCGCCTCCGAACGCGGGTCGAGATCTGCAATCCCTCAAGAGCATGCGCCAGATTCCACACGTACATCAGAGAGATCAGCTTTGACACGCTTTTCAGGGTATTTGGCCTTCTCCGATTGTTATGTGGACTTGTAGGCTTGTGTTTCACAATCGTATTATTTATAATTTGAGGATATCTTTGATCCATTCATGTAATATTCTACATACGTGCATCGCATGGATCTCGGCTATGTGATGCATTCAAGTATATTTAAATGATACTGAGCTCAGCGTAGAAACCGGGGATCATATATTTTCAAAACTAGATACGATCAATCATTCAAAGCTGTTACAAGATCTGAGCCCTTCAAGTTGACGACATATACAGAAATGATTCTGAATTCATCACATTTCCGATCGCTGCTACTGAGCTTCTGATACATTCCAATAGGAAGACCTTTCAGTATCCAGTCATGAACAGAAAAAAACAAAACAGAAAATCACATATTTTGAAAAATACAGAAACAATTTTTCAAAGTTTTTTTTGTGACCTGAACTCTAACTTCTGAATGTCAGAAAACTGAGCAGAAATTACTCAGAATGTTTCAATGCTGCTACAATTTTTTTATATCACTTGTCACCACAGTTTATTTTGATATGTCCTGATACAGGTCAACAATACTGCCTTATTTCATGATCAACGTTCCAGAACATCAAGTACAAGTCCTGCCTAGCAACTTGCTGCTCCAAAGCAGACAAGGTCATATGTATACAGGGCCTGTCTGGTTAGCAGTCATTCCCCTGTCCTCTTTTTGGTGTCCTTGTTTTACTTTGTTGCACAGTTGCGTCTGAACTCCCCAAATCTATGAAGTGTTGTGGTATATGTATAGAGGTATTCATTGTTGGTCTGGCATTTCCTGTATGTACATGAAATAGACTAATACAGTATCACATTCTAAAATGATAAATTGTATTCACTTATATCAACCCCAGCCACAAGAACTAAATCTTCTCAACAAAACATTGTCCTCAGGGATTTAGACTTTAAAGAATAATTGATCTTTTTGATGATAGCAAAATTTTCTTTGGTTGAAATCCTCACAAATTAGGATACCACACTAAATTATAATAAAATAATTGTGAGAATGGTTTTGAGTCTCTTTAAAAAAAAACCATTACCGAGCAGCATTGAAAAACGGGATCAATGGATTCTGGTCCGAGGTCCAAATGACTTTGGGAAAAGTTTTGCTGGAACAACTCAAATTTGTTCTTGTTGGAGCTGGAAATTGATGTACACAGAAATTTTAATCCACTTTCTCTGTTTTTTTTTCTCTTTGGAATCCAGCGTATATGACAGAATCCTAAAAATATATATGAGAATTTAACCTCTATGAAATATGAAATATTCTATATGCAATACTCGTATCATTCTATTTTTTATTTTCACAGCAACTTTATTGTCTCAATCACAGCGTCTGGAGTTGCCACCAATGAATATATTCACGCAAAAAAGAAAATGCTGTTGAGTATATATACGAGCCCGATTCCTTCCAGTGATGGGAACCAGCAATATGGAAGATGCAGTACCACTTATAAATTAACCTATAGGAATTGTCGTATATTCAGTAGAGAAAATTATTGTTTGCCTTTCTTGTGCACTTTTCTTTTACCACTTATAGCCGCAGTGTGTACATTATTATAAGTTGTACGATACGCTTACCTCAAGGAAGTCACTAATATTTTTCAATAGTGAGCTGCATGGTCACTCTTCATTTATTGCCTTATTCAGAGGCACCGGAACAAAAGCAATGTCAAAAATATGAAAAATGAGCGGGATTGAACTTAGTTGATAATAAATATTCTATCCATGTGTCTCAGTTGACTTTGCACTACAGTTTAGTTGAGCAAGGCTCAAGTTGCAGGTACGAAAACTGGTCAATGCTGCAGCAACTTGGCTTCACAAGGTAATTAGAAAAACTTGAAATAATGGGAAAGTTTCTTCCGGAGAGGAAAACATCGTAGCTAAAGTGACTTGAAGTGATCGTGGAGAGTTTTAGATGTGGAAAACATACGGCTATAATAGGAATGTCTTCAAAAAGTGCAAAGTTGAGGGGTTGCAAGATCTGTAAGCAAAAAGCAATAGCATATTTGCCAAAATACATCAATATTACTATATACTGAGAAAATGTTTATAGCCTTATTTAAATTTAACTGATTTCTATGCATTTATCATGTATAGGTGATGCATCATATTGCATGAGATACATGAAGATATGTTCAGGGTATTTTAGGAATATTCATGGTTCCCTTTTGTGGCGAGAATGACATAATTCATATAGAAATTTTGAAATAATAAAATGGGGGAATGAAACAAATTAGTTCATGTATTCAGATCTGAATGAGACAGATATAACATATACAATCAAGAAATGCAGAAAAAGAAAGGGTAGTGATCCCTCACAGTGCCACTTGCATATAAAGACTACAGTACTTTTGCAATCAAAATAATGTTACCAGGAGAAAAACCTTCACTGGGGTTGTCTCAGTCCATTCTCTACAGTGGATCATCACTACTGTATCACGCTTTTGTCATAGAAAATATTCCATTTCCTGGTTCTTTCAAATATTCAATACCTGCAATAGCAGCTTGCATGAGTGACCACCTGCTACTCACTGATACATAAAAATAAAATAAACTGGCATGGCGGAGCCTTCAGTCTTCATTGCCTACCCTTTTCAGAGCACCATACGATTGGGTATGGTACCTTATTTTTTGCAATAACCCCTACCAAGGGAAGCAATACATTTCAATTGAACTTCCAAAGTTCACGGCAATGCCGAAACGCATCCCGCGATCCAAAATCGACTTCGCTCAGCAGGGAAGCGGAATTTGTGAAACATCAGAGTAGAAAAAAAATTGCAAGCTCTTTCATGCATTTCCTACCTTCGAAATCGCGAGAATTCCGCGGCGCCCGCGGAAAATTTCGCCTCACTGATTTATGATGTGTATAGGAAGACGCATTCAACTTTAATCGGAATAACCTCGACGTTGGTTTCAAATCCGTCGCTCTCCTGACAGGGAAAAGAGGAGAAAAAAAAAGAACATTTTCTCAGGAGATCCTTTTTCACACATGATCCCTATTCCTCTCAAAGGGATATGCGAGGGGCGTTGGGTATAACGAGGGGACGAGTTCGCTGAGTGTCTCCCTGCTGGATCCGGAAATAAATCCCGACGTCGTCAGAGCGAATGAGGACTCTTGCGGTCTGAGTTAACGAAGGAACAAGCGTGTCGGAGAATAATTTCTAACGTCACTGTCGTCACTCGTCAGCGACATCTCGAGCAATTCGCCAAGACACGCTGGAAATCCTCATCGTCTTCAACTGCTTGATGTGATCATCCGAAGTCACAAAAAAGGAGGATGACGCCTTTTGATTTATATATTTTCTAAAGGCAATAATGAGCAGAAAAAAAATGAAACAAGAAGCTCAGCAGAAATAAAATTTACTACATTCCCAACAAATATGAATGAAAAATAGAGGTTGAATAGGAAGGAAATGAACCTTGTGGATGGACCATATTTCAGCTAAGGAAGTATATATATCATGACGTGATCTTCTATCGGATTTTATATTCATGCATCTGAAATTTCCGAAGTTCAGTCCTCATGCATATTTTTTTTAGATTTCTTGAACATAAAAGTGCAAATTATACGCTGGAACTGCTATAACCGTCGAGTCGAACAGAAACGTTGAGTTCGAGTATTTATGATCAATTGAAAGCAGTGATCTTATCAAATATTTTTATTAAACGAATACCTTTCATGCCCAAAATTACGTTTTGTGGTTCCACAGAAGGCTGAATTCAACGTTTGAAAGTCTGAAGCACTTTTCCTCCTATTTCAGATGATATAATATTTTTTTCTCGCATAATGCTGCAGTCTTTCTATATGCTGCATCTTTGAGCTACGGAGAAACGCTTTGCTCATTTCATTCCAGCTGTAAACTACTTTTTGGAGAATATTATTCTAAAGAAAACCACGACTCAATGAATATTTCCGGAATCTTTGCTTGATAGCCAGTCTAACTCTAAACACGTATGCGATAGTAATATTTCGATCCACCCTAATCATCGAATTTGCACTGAAATGTGTTCATGAAAATCTTGCGGATCATCTTAGTATACTGAGTATATAGAATATGTAATGCGAATGCGAGAAGAGTTGAGTAATACTGTAATCATACGCAGTGGGTCCCCGAGATGCGGACGTAATTGGTGCTTGGACCTTGTCCCTATATTGGATCATTCATATTGTGTTTCCCCATGGAATCCAATGGAAAGTTCTTAATTGGTTCTCCTGTTCATAAAAAATTACGAATAAAGTTACCCACAAATGTATAACATTCTTTCTAAACTTCAAGATACATGTGTAGTAACTATATTGTTATCCTATTTCCAATTATTATTACTTTAGAAGAATAACTAAGATAAGCAAATGGGACCGTTATGAGTGACTACTCTTGCAGTTCTTAACTCCTTAGTCGCGGAGGAGTGCTCTGCTGATGACACGAGACTTATTGAGAAAATACAGACAGGCTTTTTCTCAGACAACAGTTTTATTTCAACCCAATTTCGTACACTCGTAATATCAAGGCAAAGCTCCATGGAGAAGTCTAAACGGAACTCTGACTCCTTGTACAGAGGATCAGTGATCAACTGACTTATCTAGAGCTGGAACTAGGTTTTTATACCAAATTGTGGGTCCTAGATTTAGGGACAAGAGTTTAATGAT